ATGAGTCCTTTTTGAATAGACATTGTTTTGTATTATGTTATAAAATATATTGGCCAGTTTTGTGCAGTTTTATTTATTTTATATCTCAAACAAATGTACTTTTTTTTTAAAAGTGTACCGCAGTTTGTAGCTCTGGTGAGGAAGTTGGATGTGAACATGGATACCATCAGCTCCAAGGTGAATTCAGCACTCACACGAGTGGAGAAGAAGTACGGTGTGCTGCTGGTTCTCTACCAGCGGTTTGAGAAGTGAGTGAACACGTCAATGCAGCAACGTAGTTAAGGGGAAAATTATAACCAATGACAACCTTTTTTTATTTTGTTTCAGAACGTGCAGGAACATCTTTGCTCCGGCTTCTGACAATCCGTAAGTTGGAAACTTTTCTTTATGTTCTTGTGTAGTGGATAATTGAGTGCTTTTTATAAAAGATATCATGCAGCTTCAGGATTCATTTTTCACTCTCTTTTCCAAGGGAGAGGGAGACCATGCGGAGCTGCTGGACAATGTTTCTTTTAGCGAAAGGTATGTTAACGGGTCCACTCGCTATCTGGACCCGTTTCCACTTTCTTGTGTATCTAATTGGCTAATAGGGACCGCAATTCCTGAAGGTTCTCCCAGAGAATGGGGCTATTTTTCCTTTTATTACAACGGATTACGTGAAGGCCGGGTGGGATTGCAAAGGGGCCAAAACTTTCCATGGCAGGTTAATCGTGAAAATGTTGACATTTTTTCTTCTTCTTAAAAGCCTATAATGGGGTAATTGGGAACATTGTTTGCCAGAATTGTAAAGGTAAACATAAAACGTTCTGCGGTTTTTGAACGTCTTTGTCGTTACCTGGCATATTGATTACATGGTAATCTGAAGCCAGTTTAATTCTAATAGTTTATTTATATGCAGTAGACTAATTTATTACAGCAGTGAGAGTAGGATTTATGTATTTCCACACAAAACACCTTCACCCCTGGTGTTTCAATAGGGGGGGGGGCCCGCCCGCTCAAGAAGGACTGTTTTTTTTGTTTTGTTTTTTCTTTACATTTACAATTTCCAGTTTATTCACGGTAATTCACTTCAATTCCCATGGAAAGTTTCCGACTTTGAATATTCCCGGAATTTTGCAATTCCGCAATTTTGCAGTGTGATAAGATTTTGCAATATTATTACTGTGTGGGGTCCATTACATCAAGTTGTCAGACATGTTAAATAACAGCAGATTTCATCTTGCTTCTTCTACTTTCTGACCTTCCTTCCTCAGCCGTAGAGCTCAAATGAATCGGAGGAATGTTGTGTTGTTTCCAGTCTGCAGCGCTGGTATTGTGATGCTGCTTCTCATGCACTGCTTCTGTGCTCCTCGCAGGAAGGGTCTTGCAGATGGAGGATGACCTGGTCATATCATTCCAGCTGCTGCTTTGTACGCTGGAGTTATTCATCAAGCGTTGCCCTCCAGACCTTCTGCAACCTCTTTACAGTGAGCTTCAGCCGGCCGTGTTTTATACACCTTTCTGAATTTTTATTGTGTGGCAAAGTTTTCAAGCCCGAGATGTTTTTTTTGTTGAAGACTGGAAAAACTATTTCAGTTGGAATTTTAACATGAATGCTTATTTTAGTTGCTGTAGACCTAATAGGATTTCTCGTTGTTCTTTGCCTAAAAGTGTACGTATGTGCTCAGCTGATACTGATATTATATTTCATGCTATTCATGATTCAAATAACTGAAGCGATTATCAACACAATCCATTTGAAACGGGATGTAATTCAAGCTTTAGGACGGGTTAGATGTGCGGGTAGTACAGATTACGTCACGCCACATACGTGAGGAAGCTGTGGGAGAAAATATATTTATACACAGAGCGACGTACAGCTAATTAATTCAGCTGTGGTATCAGATCGGTCTTTATTGGCTGATTTACGCTCATGCCTTAAGTGCGTGAATACTCTATTCTACTCTACTGTATAGCATAGTATTATAGTATGTTGTCATGTTTTTTAATCACAAGAAGCGGAAAAAGGTCTGTGCTCTGTACTCCCTTGCTTGAATGCACTTTGTTGTTTGCTTTGGATAAAAGCGTCAGAATTGAAATGTTCTAATCCTTTTGAATGTTTCTCTCTTAGAATCAGCCATCAGGAAAGTTCAAAGCCCTCCGACACGAACATCTCGGCGCAGCCAGAGCAAGGCCAAGTCCCGACCTCTGGAGCCAGAGGTGGATTTGCAGCTTCTGAAGACCTTATGCAATGAGAATGAATGCAATGGAGAAGAGGTCCAGAGCTTTATACTAGTTATCGTACAAACCCATTTTTTGCCCTCTGTATATTTGTTCTCATCTATGCAAACCATATTCGCAGGTGAAGAATGTATACCAGACCAGTTTCTTGGCTTTCCTGGAGTCTCTCGACTCTTCGAAGTCTCCAGATTTTCCTCAGGTAGGTGTGGACACCTGCTCTAGTGTTTGGTTTCCATTAGTTATCACCTAGCGCTTGCTCCCATTTTTGAGTGTTTTTATGTGTCTGACAGCTGTTGGTTGTTCCCTTTACTGCTTTTACATGTTTGGTTTCACATTAATGGTGTCAGGAAAAATGTGTACTCAAGCAGGGGATCCACTGTAGCGTCTCGGGGTAGTTTATTGCAGGGGCGGGTACGAAGTCAAAGGACACTGACGCGCTCAGAATACTAGACCTATTTATTTTTACTGTAATATTGTCGGATTACGGAGCAGGGGGTGTGCTTTATATACCTACGTGTCTTGTGTAAACATTCTGCTGAGGTTATCGATCTGGGCCTGCGAGGGGCCCGAGTCATTGTCTGAGCTCTGATTGCAGATCTAGTTTTCAGATTAAGATTTCACCTATAAAACTTGAATTTAGCGGATGTGATGTATTGTCAGCCCTCAAGATTGCTCAGTCTGAGGAGTAGTTGGCTTTTCTTTGGAAACTGTGAAATTGTTAATGTTCTTGTTGTTAATGTC